TTTACTTCATTGTTTGTGAACGTTTCATTCCATAATCAGTTGGCTCCAAGGCAGGGTGACGTGGCACAAGGGGTACAATTCATGGCATCAGCCATCAAGGAAATAAAAGAAGGGAGAAGAGCAAGCTCTTCACCTCCCTTACATTGTTTGCAGGCCACCATCATCACCCTCTAGGGCAGATGTAGCCCTCACAAAATCTCTGTGCCCTCCTCTTGCACAGGATGAGGATATTTACAAAATAAGGATCCTGGCTCCCTGCTGAATCCCTTAGTAGAATTTCTACTTCTTACTTAGTAGAATTCTACTTAGAATTTCTAAAGTTTTCAAGTTGAAGCAATGCATCAATTGTAACACCCATCTTAAAGTATATTATTTTTCCAATATTCATAAAGGCCACTCCAGCATTCATGGTGACTGGTTTCATGGTGTTTCTATATTTATGCCTTTCTTTTCATTTGTGCCTTTGAATCTAAAGTGTATCTCTGGGAGACACTGGAATTGAGTTTTTTTTTTTTTTTTTTTAAATTCACTGTCAGCTCAGTCTTTTGACCTGAAGGTCTAGACCATAGGTGGTGAACCTGTATCATGTGAAGTATTGTGTTTTTAAGACAAAAGATACTAATATATGAGTTATGTTTTCTAAACTAAAACCTCCATACTCAAGTTCAGTTGCAGTGCTGGGACTTTGCGATAAATAAGTAGGTTTTGAGTTGCAGTTTGTATACTCGGTCTCTAAAAGTCTGTCTTTGCTGGTCTCAGAGGTTCATATTTTAATACAATTTTTGATACTGTTGGATTTTTGGCTTTTGTTTTCTATTTATCTTTTTTTGTACTTCAGATCTTCTTTTGCTTTCTTTTGTGTTCAGTATTTTTAAATTTAATATTTCCTCTTTTTTCTTTTAATAGACAGAATTGTTTTAGTTCATGGTACATAGTATGATGTTTTGATCTATGTATATACTGTCAAAAGATTGGAACTAATTAACACATCCATCACCAGACCAATCTTGTTAACCTTTTTATGTTTTGTTATTTTCATTGCTGAAGTAAAATTACAATTTGCTTTGCATCTTAATCCATACCAGAGTAAGAGTCATTAAATTCTGATGGAATCCAAAACTTGTTTAGTCTCCATCCCCTTGAGTTATTGCCATACATTATTATACCTATATAATTTCCCCTAAGCAATCATGATTATTGCTCTGCACAATCTTGTATCTTTTAAAAGTGTAAAAAAAAGTGCAAAATAGACTTACAGCTTTGAAAAATTTACTGTCATATCGCCATTTCTAGAGTTGTTCATTTCTTCTTAGAGATTTGATTTACTGTTTGGTATTACTTCCTTACAAAATAAGGAAATTTCTTTACTATAGTAGTCTTCCCTGAAAGACATGCTGCGAATATATAAACCAGTTTTGCTTAACTACAAAAGCAATTTTTAAATCATTCTGTAGACTTTTTAGCTCTAAGGTAACTTTTTGATGAGTGACAAAAAGATGAGAAATTCAACATGGCTTTGTTTCAAAGCAAGTTACTCAGTTCATGAAAAGCGGCATGCCTTGAATACAATCAAGGCTGCATAGTAACATTTCAGCGGATGATAGAGCATACACATGATGACAATCCATAAGATAAACTGCATAATGACATCACAGCTATCTTAGTGTGTGTAAATACATTTTGTGATGTTTGCACAATGATGAGATGGTCTAAAAGTTTCATCATTCAATATGTTACAGTATTTCCACCACCAAACCCACTCAAAAACTATTTGTATAAGGGATGATTAAAATTTGAAAAATGTTTAAAACATTTTACAGTAAAAGATACATTGCCATTGACCCATCAAAATATTCTCCCTTGCTCTAAGCATATCCCATCATTCTTGCAACTTTCTGAAACACTTCCGGAGCTTTTCTTTCATGAGTGTTTATGAGGTATGATTTACAAAATATAATGAATGCTGCTGCCAGGTGCCACTGAGAAGGCAGGCTTGTAAAAACATTAGTGTGTTGCATCCAAGTTATTCACCAGAAGTCTAGCAGCACCTGACTTCTGGCCTTTCCCCAGTGCCAAGATAACCATGAAAGATAAATGTTTTGAATCAATTCAGGTCACTGAGACAGCCATGGTGGCACAACTAACGAGATTTTTTTAAAATCACATCTAACATACAGCTCTCCCCTCTTATCTATAGTTCTGCTTTTTATAATTTCAGTTCCCTGCAGTCAACTGGGGTGCAAATGTATTAAATGGAATATTCCAGGAACAATTCATAAATCCTAAATAATACAGCACACTGAGTTGTGAGACGACATCTCACAGTGAGGTAAATGGCCTATCTAGAACACTTTGATGTGTTATGGTTTGCATTTCAAATGTTCCTCTGGTTTGGTTGATGGGTTTTGGGAACATGGTTGGATCATGAGGCATTTAACTTCATCAAGTCTATAAATGCACTGATGAGATCATAATTTCATGGTGCTATTGGGAGGTGATGAAACAGGAGATGGCACCCAGCTGAAGAGAATTAGTTATGAAGCCATCTGGTTCCTATCTGGTTCCAGCCCTTTCCTCTCTCATTTCTAGTCTCTGCTTATTAACTGAGACAAGCAGCATTCCTCCAACACACTCTCCTACCACAGTTTCTGCTTCATCACAGGCCCACAGTCAGGACCGCAGCCTCATGGACCAAAGCTTCAGAACTTCTGAACCACAATAAATCTTTCACTTTTTATGTTGTGTATGTTAGGAACTTGGTCACAGCAATGAAAAGGTGACTGACACACTGTACATCAACACTGTATGCACTAGGTGTCTGGCAGTCCCTTAGTTGCTGTCTTAGTTATCAGGAATCATGGTGCTTGCATTCAGGAGCCTCATTACAAATTACACCATTTACCTCACTTTCTCTCTGCATGTGGGTGTTGTATCACCTCACATTATCAGCAGAGGAAGGTGAGGACAAGACTGTTTTCAGAGGAAGATAAAAAATCATGTTCACACTACTTTACTAGTCTTTTGTCATAATTGTTCTCTTGCTCTATCATAGTTCTGTTAATCTTTTACTGTGGCTAATTTATGAATTAAATTCTTATCATAGGCATACATGTATAGGAAAAACCATAGTAGAGGAAAAACAGCACGTGCTGGCTCATGCCAAGAGTTCAAGGCCAGTCTGGGCTACCTAGTGAGTTCATGGTCAGCCTGAATTACATAATGAGACTCTGTGTCAAAAAAAAAAAAAAAAAGAAAGAAAAGAAAAGAAAATAGAATATAGAAAATTTGGTATTATTCTTGGTCTAAGATATCCCCTGGAAGTCTTAAAACATAACTTCCACAAATACGTGGGGTGCATTTGTAAGGTACATTTGATCACAATGAAGTTTTTTGTCTTTCTAGGTATTTTCTTGCCATTTTCATTCTTGAAGGATTATTCTGCTGGAAATAGAATTCTTCAGTTTTTCTTTCTAGCAGTTCAAATATGTGTTATTTTGTGTTTTCTGTATCTATAGTGTTGTATTATATTTTTCCTTTTGTGTGTGTGTGATTTAACAATTTAGAAAGGCTGGTGGTCTTGTCCTACTAGTTATAATCAAAACTCCTTATTATTTCTTTTCATTTTCTAGCATCCTTTTGCTTTTATTTCATGTTCTTGTACTCTATGAGCTGAACAGGTAGGTTGGTTACAATTTCTGCCTTCCATCTCCCATCTTCCAAAAATTAGTATCATCATTTCTACTTGTCAGATTAGGTACCACTTACACATTAACTGTCCACATCGTTACCTTGTAGTCTTATATCTAATATTCATTACTGAACAGCCCCTTGGTGAAATAATCTCTTGATGTCTCCCAGAGATGCTTCAGGAATACAACACTGACCTCTACATTTACATTGTTTTTCTGTAACCTTCTTACTTGAAAGACGCCTTTGTGCATATAAAATCCTTGATTCACACTTTCTCTTTTGAATCTCTGGAAAATACTTCTTTTCCTCATATGCTGCTGGTGGGATGATTTACTCTATCTGTACTTCAGTAATCCTCCAGTTTCCCAGACACTTCTAGAGCTGGACCGTGCAGGTGCAGGCTATGGGTAATTTTATTTGATGTCATTAGGTTGTTTTTTTTCCCAAGGGGTGGGAAAGGGGATGTAGGTGGCCAGTTCTGCTTGGTCATCTCTGCTTCTGGACCAAGATCTTATGCTTACCAGGAAGGATGTTCTCAGCCCCATAAACTGGATTATTTCTATTGCCTCATTTCACTAAAATATACCTTTTCTACCTATATCATATCTCTAATTATGAAATCTCTTATAACCGGCAGTTTATTACAGAAAGCAGAATCATTTCCTGTAGATCACAAACTCAATACAAGAGGTACAATTAGTGAATTTCCAAATTTGATAGAAAGATGTGTCTCAAAGCTGTACTTTTCCTGAGTTCCAGTTGAATTGAGCTGTAGATGATTTAAAAAAAAGCAGTCATTCAATTTCCTCCCTGTTGTGGTCAATTGCATTGAGTGAAAATGGATCTCTACTGGTTTCCGCACCATTGCCCCCAAGTTGCTGCCTTTAAAGTACAAGACCACTGAGGAGATACGTTAGAGCCCTCTTGCAGATTTCAGAGGGAAATCTGTAATCTACTTCAAATGTGAAATTCTTTGTCCACGGTGGAGGACATTGGATCTGTTTGATCCAATGTTTCTAGCAGATACATATTTTTTGTGGTGCACGTTACTGGATTGTGGTCACTCTAATTTTAATACAAAGACATTACCTTTGGTTCTATTAATTTAAAATGGTGGTGTGTAAAGGATTAAACTAACATGTTCCACTACCTTTTACAGAAACTTCTGGTCATTTAAAAAAAGAGATTGAGACAGGTTTCCTAAAACAAAACAAAACAAAACAAAAGCTCATGCAAAGAGAATACTGCTGTAAATCTGTAAAATGTTTAACAGATTACTGTTGAACCCTACTTATGCAAACAGACTGAAATCATCAGGAATGCAAGTTTAATTCATTAAAACACAAAACAAAACAAGCCTATCCCCTAGACAGTATTGTATCTTTTAATGCTGCAGCAATCACAAGGCACACTTGTATGAAATACCTCAAGCAGTATAGGTTAAACATTAAAAAAATATGTCACTTAAAAAGAAGTTGAAGACTTTTTGTTAATATGAACACAGATTATAAAAATGACATTTGTTTTATAATTTTATATCTTTTAAATATGAAGATGAAATTAATATTTACTCTTTTGTGATAAATATCACAAAACTTTTTAATTATTTAACTTGGTTTGTTTAATAAAAAACAGCTATAGTACAGCTTAAAAATTTATTTTTAAAGCTTTAACATCTTTTAGATATATGGAACTCAGAAATGAAAAGCACAAGTTCTCATTTTTCTTAGCTTATAAAAAGCCAATGGTTTGCATGTTGGACATGTCTGCCCCTCCTTGCTTTGGGAGTAGAAATGCATCCGTAACATGCTACATGAATAAAGGATTTCTCAGGGCTGCCAACCTTTCAGTAGCGGTTGAGTGGTAGTATAGTTCTCCTACATTAAAAAAAAAAAAAAAAAAAAGCCAATGGTTTCATTTCCCTAGCAAATTCACTATACAAAAAAAAAAAAAAAAAAAAAAAAAAAAAAAGCACATTTGAGACATTTTAAAGTATCTAGGAGCATTACATATTTTTTGATCAACAGAATAACCCTATTATTTGTATAATTCTAAATTAACACCTAATAAACGTAAAGACCAATATCTATATTAAAATAGTGATTGATTCAAATTATTGCTCATGTAGGAAATAGAACAAATATTCTCTGGTTAAGGATATTCAGATTGGAATGGTATCATATCAGTATCTAGTGTGTATCAAAGTCTGCACTCCACAAATAATGAAATTTATAATAATTATACAAACAGTGTTCCTTTGCATGTCAGTCACCATTTAGCTTTACATGAAGAATGGAGAAGATGTGGTTGAATTACATCTTCCGTAGCAAACTGTGTTAACACATACAAAGTATTCCTGTTAGCCTTACTTATTGCAAAGCTGTTTTTAAGAAATATTAAGATACGCTTACAGAATCATTACCACAGAAGGAGAGCACAGAAACTAGAGCTCCAGTTTCAATAAAAATAATATGAAAGAGTACTATGATAAAACATTTAAACAGTGCTAGATAGAAGAACTGAAACACTAGGGTAGGTGCCGTTGTTAGTATTCCTCTTAAAAAATCAGTTCCTGGGTGTTTAGATGGTTCTTTGTAAAAATAACGAGCATCCCATCTTTGTCTCAGTCACACATTCAGTCTATTCCCACACTGGGTGGTAACAATCCCGTCAGACATCATGAGTCCTTCTGAGATACCTCTGAGGAGTCCCATCTGTCTACATGTCCACGGTGGAGGCCATCGGGTGCTAAGCTCGGCCTATAGCAGGACAGCCTGTGCTGCTTCCTTAATGGTTGATGCAGCTCTCTCTAGCTCTTCCTCTGTTTGTTCTACTGTGACCACAACTCTGATGCTGAAATAACAAAGGACATAAAAAAAAAATCAAATGAAAGGCTACAGCAAAGGTTAGCCACCCATGGCCAGGAAGCCAAAGTGAGCAGTCCCTGCCACTTGTTTGTGTAAACACTATTCTGCTGGTACTTAACTCACTCACTATCTCCTGCCTATAACTGCAGTACTATCTATCGTGGCAGAGGTAAACAGCTGTGACAGGGACTTGAGGCCCTGCTGCCCAAACACACTTACTGTCTGGTCATTGGCAAGTGGCTGGGTCTGGCTTATATTCTGGTGTGTGTGTACTTAGAGTGACCTGAATGGGTTTTGCTATGGAGGCCAGGAACTGTGTCAATAATCACAGTGCCAAAAGCAGTACCAGGCACAAAGCAGGAACCAAACATTTCTCAAACTGGTGAGTGCTTGTTCATATTCACAATTCAGTAAGCAATGCAGGATGTTCTATGATACTTTGAGGCAAGGCAGACATCTTCAAGCTTTCAGAAACTTGAAGAAATGAGTTTGCCAGCTAGAGTCACACACACCATAATCCCAACCCTCTAGAAGAACAAAGCCACTCAGCCCAGTCTGGGTAACTAAGTGATTAGTGAGATCCTGTCTCCAAAAACAAAACAGAGCTGGATATACTGCTTAGTGAGAAGGCCTGGGGTTTACCCAAAGCAGCCTCCACACTGACAAAAGAAACTGACTTTACTTTGCAAACATCTGCTTCAGCCAGTGGACACTTACTCACCTAATGTACTTGTGTGTGAAGCACACATGCTATGGAACAAGCATGGCTCCTGTTCTGAATGTGCATTTTTACCAAACACATACAGAATCAGGTATTTAGGTGAATGTGGTAAGAAGTGAGAGTGTCAAGCTGCTGCCTGGATGGCCTTCCAACTCCAATGGCCTTCTGCATCTGCAGGGCGTTCAGACTCTTCAGGGTTCTCCTATGTCTCCCTAGATGCAGTTTCTGCTCTGGGCTTGAAGATATATCCGGAAGTCTCCATGCCACTGGCAAACCTTGAGCAAAGCTCATATTGCTCATCTGCTAAAGAGCTACAAGGTCTGCCAAGTGCCTGATGAACACAGGCAAACACATGCCTGCATTCATGATGGGCTCGTACTCCAACAAAACCACCCTGTGACACTGCATAACCCTAATCTACTGAACTCATGGCTGAGTCTATTCTCTGTTAAATGTGCCCAGAACACTTATTTTAGCCTAGAACTGGAAAAAAGCATCTTTCACAAGGCCTATTTTATAAAAGTGTTGAATGTCTTGGACAACTTATTAAATACTGTCCTGAAAGAGCAAAACAGAAAGCTACGTGCAGGTGCTTTCACACTATGGTAAACACGTGATTCTAAGTGGAATTGCTGGCAGCCGGGGATGTCTGAGCTTATCTTTTCAGTCACAGAGCATCACTTCTCTCAGACACTCAATGACATCTCAGGACAGAGTTGACTGTACCTCTTCTCCTTGAGATCTGACCAAGAGCCTTGGCTTGAGTGTCTTTCTCCACCCTGTAACTATGAGTGAGCCTGTGCGCTGTGGACCCACCTATTTTTGCTCTGCTTTCCCAAGGTGTCATGTTATTGGCTAGGTGAAGTACGAATCCACTCTGACTGAGATTGTGCCCCTTCTCGGCAGGACTATCCTCACAGCTGGAGCTGTGGGCAGGGCACAGGCTGCCACTGGCCATGGCAGACATTAGCTGGACAGAACCTGTTTGCCCAGTTTCACTCCTAGGATTCCACATAATTCTCTGTTAACTGAAAAGACAGTCAGCCCTGGGTCCTGAGGTGTTTTCCATTTAAAATTTAAAAGCATCTGGCCTTAACTGATAGCCTGCTGTATATTAAGGACATTCTTTCTTGTTCTCAAAATCATTTAGGAATTTCCAAAACACAATATATTTCATGTGAAGTCTAAAGGAGGAAAAAAAAGTAAGTTCCTATTTTAATGTCAACTAACCTCGGAGGAGGGAGACATTTCTCTTCTTTCTCCAAGTAGCGGGCCTGAGTTAATGCAATACTTTTGTCCATGCACTGTAGGAGAGAAAAGGCAAACATTAGCAACTTGGACTTCGGGACACTGGTAGTTAAAACACGAAGGTACCTCAAAAGCCCTAATCAGTGGTTTACTTCCAATTTTAACTGCTAGGAAATAAAACTGAAATACCACAACAGGATTATAAGCAGCACCACACTCTCCAGTTTTCAGCAACAATGGGAATGGTCATGCTGCAGGTCATGTTCCTGCAAGGCTGCATATCTAACTTTGTATTTTATTCAGTGAGAGTCCTATGTAGCTTGGGACTACTGTTTGGACAAAGTTGAATTCTAAACTAGGGGAGCAATATGAGCAAATCCCTAAGGGTCAGCCAACAGCTGAACCTGAGAACATCATAGCAGGACTACATCAGGGAGAAACTGCTGCATTCAGACACATAGAAATGACTGTGTCCATTTATTTCCATTTGGGCAAGGTTCTACCAGGCACTGAAAAGTCTGGTGCTAATCCAATTTTTGCATAGTTTGCCTATACATCAACTACCTGTCAATAATTCTTTCTTTTTAGTTAAAATGTTCTCTATTAAAATAAAGCACAAAAACTAGAATGAGTAGTTTACAGGGATTTCCTTTTGCAGTAATGGAAATATTCTGCAGTTGGACAGTAATGGATGCAGAACCTGGTGAATATACTTGTACACTTCAAAAGGAGTGACTTTTTGTGTAGTATAAAGGAAAGAAAATCATTCCAAATGCCTGGCGTAACATTATCTGCCTGAAGGACCATGCTGGCAGCTGTGAGGGGGATGGCACAGCCTCCTGCTGGCTCCTCTCTCGGGAGGTGCACCTGGAGCCTACGGGCTGTCTGGACAGCATCCTCTGAACCAGGCAGAGGCAGTGAGGAAGCACCAGAACTGGAGCACCAGAACAGGCCTACATCGTGAGTGTCGTGACCAACACTTGCCATCATATCCTGTCTCTCCAGGAAAAGTGACATGAAAAGTCTGCTAGGGGTGTGGGAGAAAGAGGTGTAGGGAGGCTCACCGAGTAAATGAATGCTTACCTGACTTATGATTGCTTGGAGCAGTTTAACATCTTCTTCTCGAGATCCGGTGCTGTCGTCCAGTTGCAGATGAAATGCTGGGGAAAAGGACTCCCCCACTACCTTCAATCCAGAAATGCTGAGGAAAGAACCACACGCACACACACACACATGAATCCCTTCCAGGCTCAGAGCACCTCACACAGAAGTGATTCTTAAAGTCTGCCCTGTCAAGGCCCATGGAAGGGGACACAACTGGTAACTGGTAGGAGCATCACCCGGTAGTGTTCTGATTTTGACAAAGCAAGAGAGGTAAACTGTGCACTCCAAGCAGTACTTCCCAGGCCAAGACAATGGGAAGAGGCTCTCTGTTCCTGGGAGCTTCCTGTTACTGCTTCCCGCCTCCCACTGGAAGTCCGCATGCTGACTCCCTGCTTGCCTGTTATCCCCTCACACATCTCCCTCACACCTCCCTGGACCTGGCTGGCCCTACCGTCTCTTAGTGAGTTGCTCAGCTTTGTCATTTAACTCCAGCTAGGGCAGCTTATATACATTACTACTTTGGGGAGAGTCTGCTTCCTCTTTTTCTTTCATTTTTTAGATTATAATTAGAAACAAGCAAGAAATAACAATAAATCAGTTTCAAAACAGGTTAGTAGAAGAGTAACAAAAATCAACACATTGTGTATTTTCATTCAGAGTTCTTCAGAATACAAGATATAGGTATGAAACATTGTCCAGAAAATTACTATCACATAATTTTCCCCTCAATGAATCTAGAAAAAATGGCTGTATAATGCCGTCTTTTGTATTTTTTTTTCCTTCCTTCCTTTCACCCATCGCTGTTTTTCTTTTCTTTTGATCAGTTTCCTCCCTACTCACAATATCTGTTGTAAGTTTTGAACACTGTATACTCTTTCCCATTCTCACACTAGTGAGACTATCATGTTTATACATGTGCGTTTATTTCACTTACGAATATGGTCTCAAGTTGCATCAATTCACCCCTAAAAGCACGAAGTTTATCTTTATTTTATTATTATTATTATTATTATTATTTTTGTTTTTATCGGTACCAGGGATCGAACTCACGACTGCCTGCTTGCAAGTCAGGCGCTTATGCCGCTGAGCTAAATCCCCAGCCCCGACTTTATCTTTTATTTAACTACACAGTATCCCACTGTATAAGCAGTAGTATCCCACTGTATAACAAAACACATCTTTTTAGCTGATGGGTATTTAGGTTATTTTCAAGATTTAGCTGTTACAAATTGTGCTGCTATAAACATGAGTGCACATATATGGCTGTGGTATGAAGTTTTTAATTCTTCTGGAAAGATCCTCACAAGAGGAGTAGCTGAGTCAAATGTGACCTCTAATCCTAGTTTTTAAAGAAATCTCCACAGCGGCTGCACCAATCATACCTGCACCAACAGTGGAACAGGGTTCCCATTTCCCCACAACCCTGCCACCACTGGTTATTAGTTGTTTTCTTGATGACAGTCATTATGTCTGGAGACAGAATTGTGATGTTCATTTGCATCTCTTGAGTGACCAATGATGTTGAAATTTTTTTCATATACTGCTTATATTTCTTTATATAAGAAGTGTGTATTTATCTCAGAAGCCCATTTTTGGATTGGGTATTTGAAATTGGGGCTGTGATTTTTTTTTTCAATTTTTTATATATTCTAGATGCAGTTAAGTCCTGTTTCTGAGGGACATGTGGCTATAATTTTCCCCCATTCTGTTAGCTGTCTTTTCAAATTGTTAGTTATGCAAAGCATTTTAAAATGAGATTCTACTTGGTGATTCTTTGTTGTATTTCCCATGCAGTCTGGGTTTTATTTAGGAATTTTCTGCCTACAATTATGTCTTCAAGATTTTTAGCTGTTTTCTCTTCCAGTATTCTGGACAGAGAATAACAGTATTGCTAGATTTTATAACATGATGCTACAGAATTAGCACTGGGTATCTTAGTGTGTCTTTTTCTTCAGAGTTATCTATTCATTACATCATGCATTATAATCTATTCTCATAAACTGTTTGGAAATTCTACACATGAGTGAATTGCTGCATGTATACCTATCCTTTCTGTAATAGAGGGAAAAACAAATCAAAACAAGCCAACACAAATTCCTAGAAAAACATGAAACGAAAAAGACATAAAACCACAATACGAGGTGATCTACCGTAGTTACTATGATGTCTCTTATTTTCAATAGAATTGTCTATGTCATCAGGCATAACATAACTGAACATAGCACTACATACCAATATTAATAAAAGCAAAACATTGGAGACATTATAGGACTCCAAAAGCAGTTAATAATCAAACCAGAATGGGTATCCTATTGCATCTTGTTTATCTGCAGAGTACTTCCCTCTTCTCTTAGACTTGATACTATCAAGCATACCAAATTTGAATCAGCCAAGACAAACAGCAACCTAACAAACCAGATTCAAATAAGATCAGTCATAGTAAGACATTGTAAGTAATACAGGGCTTCAGGTTAAGTTAATAGTAAATTAAGGATAGTTACTGTAGTATATCCTGCTATTCTTGGGATAGCTGTCTATGCTCTCAAATCTAGTATGAGTAGACAGACTGGACCAGAATAAAATCAAACTAAACAGCGATAAGACTAATGTGGCTGTTAAATCCTGATATACTATTAACAATGTCCTCTGCCTTCCTTTTTTAGACAATTCCTCCCCTTTCCCTTTCTCACGGTTCTTTGTACATTTTGGGTCCACTAATTCCTTTAGTTTTTAGATTAGGGGGGCAACCTGCTATCTTACCTAAGTGGTTCTGAACCTTTTTACCCAAGCTTGATCTTGAGCTGTGTACCTAGTAAAGCCTCAAGGTTTTCCTTCCTGATAGCCGAGTAGTTCTCCACTGCACAAAAGTGTCATGACCTTCCAAACTATCTGCAGCTGCTGGACGAGCTGTCCCTATTTCTCTCTGGTTCCCTGTCACATACAGCATTGTTTTCTCATCTTTGACTTTCGGTTCATTAACCCTTTTTTCAGGTAGATTATATTTCCTATTCAGAGCATCTCAATGGACCCTATCTCCTGATCTACTGTGTGTTTCTTACTGTTAGTGTATCAAGGCCATCTGTGCTAGGGATTATAGCCAGTATTCTCTGCCTCACCTCTGCTATGCTATTTTTCTGCATTTGGTTGTCTGCTTTTCTCCTTCCTTCCACTACCTGCCCCTTCACTGAGGCCTTTCTGTCACTGTTGCTGGAATCCTGGTGATTTTTTTTTCTCTCTCTCTAGAATGTCCTTCAGTGTTTTTTGTAGGTTGGATTGGTGATCACGAATTCCCATAGTTTCTCTTTGTCATGGAAGCATCTTGTTTCTCTATTAATTTTGAGAGACAGTTTTGCAGGATACATCAATCTGGGTTGGAGGTTATTTTCTTTCAGGCCTTGGAACACTTCGTTCCAAGCTCTTCTTGATTTGATGGTTTGTGTCGAGAAGTGTGTTGTGATTTTGATGGGTTTTCCGTTATAGGTGATATGTTTCATTTCTCTGACCACTTTTAGTATGCTGTACTTGTGATGAATTTCTGGGATTTTGATTATTATATGTCTGGGCGTAGCTGTTTGGGTTGTAGCTGGCTGGAGTTGTGTATGCCTCATATATCTGAGTATCATTTCCTTTTCCTATACTTGGCAAGTTTTCCTTAATTATTTCTGTGAATAGTCTTTGTATTGCATTTTTGTTTATTCCTGCTTCTTTGCTCACATTTTTTATTCTTAAGTTATAGATCCTCTTGTCGTCTTCTAGCCTTGGTTCCTTGTTTGTTTGTTTGTTTATCAGTACCAGGGATCAAATTCATAACCACCCACTTGCAAAGCAGGCGCTTATGCCGCTGAGCTAAAACCCCAGCCCCGGTTCCTTGTTATTTTTAAGAGATCTTTCCTTTGACGATCACACATTGCAAACCTATCTTCAAGTTTTGAAAGTCTAACTTTAGTTTCTGTCAAGGAATTCTGCCAGCTTTCAATGAAGTTTTTAATTTCTTGGTAATCTCTTTGGATCTGTTTCATGTATTCTAGATTGTGTTTGTATTCTTCATCAATGGTTTCTCTCCTTTTTCTGGGTTCCTCCATTCTTCCATCTGTGTCTTCTTGAGACACGCTTAGCAGTTCTTTTATTAATCTTTTTATATCTTGCCTCACTTGAATTAGAATTTCAGTTTTTAAGTTTGTCCATGAGGTCCCAAAGGTTTTTCTTTATGTCTGCTGATGCTCTGTCCGATATTGCATGTTTGCTACCCTCACCTCTTCTGTCTTTACCTCTCCTGGACTTATTTTCTCTGGGTGAGCTGCTGGAGGCTTTTTCTTATTTCTTTCTCTTGTCATGTTTCTGGTTTCTTTCAGACAGGTGTATGGTGGAGGTCTCAGGCCCTTTCTGTACTGCTTACTGTTTTTCTGAAGCATGCTGGCTAGGGGATTACTGCCCTCGCCAGTTAACTGTTGCTCTGTGAGGTGCACATAGGGGTGATGCGGGCTGGCACCTATCCTCTCAGTCAGTGCCTTTAGTCTATGCCGTGTGGACGTCACAGGTTTGGGACAGTTTCGTCCCTGGCTATTGGGTCCCGCCCAGGGGCATGATCGAGCCCAAGCAGATCCCACCAGTCCTCTCTGGGCCAGGGGCAGCTGCCTGACGCTGCTGTGGTCCCAGGTTCAGGCCTGTCCTGCCTAACTCCAATATGTCAAGCTGGTCACCGCCCCGCGGGACCCAATTCCTAGCACTCACCACGGATTAATGCAGCTTTCTACATTGGTTCTGCTCTCCGTTGCACTGCATCCTCTTGCCAAGGGCCTTGGGCTCAGCAACCCCTGATTCCGGCACTACCACACTTTCAGCATGATCATGAGTCATCTGACTCCAAGGCGCACCGAGGAGAGCGCAGGACCAGCTCCAGTGAGAGTGCGTCTAGTTCCAGCGTTTCATCCACGATTTTCCTTCCTTCCTTCTTTTTCCTCAATTTCTTCCTGGGTCGTAAGAATCTCCTTTCATGTTGTCTTCTCTGTGGTGTTAAATTCTAGCATCTGAGTTGTTTTTGTAAGAGAGACTCTATCCTGCTACCTATCAATCTGCCATCTTCCCAGCAAGTCCTCC